ACGTGTTCCGTTTTAGATGGAAATTAATTACGCCGATGAAGCTGTCACTGTGGAACCCCTTAGGAGTTGCTTCGTCACGCTAGCACAATGCACCGGTCTCGTTTGTTTATTAAACAGCCCGACCGGCGCAGGCGCGCGGACCGCGGTAGCCCATCGCGATAACACGGCTACGACTGCTCTGTTTCTGAAGATCACACTATGCACAGGTTGTCTCTTAGTTTCATATGTAATCAAAGATCGACCTGTATATATACGAAGCTAACCTTTTGCGCTACCGATAGCCAGATTCTGCAAAGCTGTTAGGAGAATTAACACCAAATATCTAACAACAAAATTTTAGTAACTACCGTGCTTTGTGCGTGAACTCTTCAAGTAGTCTTATTTATTCTTTATTGCACTAAAAATAATCACGATACAGAATAAAAACTTTACTAGAATGGAATGCAATAGGCGGCCTTATCATTAGCAAGCGATCTCTTACGGGGCAGTGGAAAAATAAAAACATACAGATCTAAAAAAGGTTACATGTTTACTGACTTAAATAAATAAATAGATAGATAGTGGCTTTACTCAGGTGACAGACAGGACATTTTATGTGATGTGGTCTTGATAGTAGCACTATTTCGAATTTTAAGCGTGTTTGTTACTGGATCTCTGAATGTGCAAAGCCGACATAGGTCGACAGTGCACAGCAAACGAAAAGGCAGCGAGGCAGGCGTAGTGCGAACCCGTTAGAATCGATACGGAAGAAGATGAGTCGGACCAAGTATATCGTCAGAGCGGCCGCCATAACTCTCCGGAACCCGAATGCTTCGGGGAAACGTATCGAATCGACGACAGGCGCGCTCGCTCGATTTATCGCCCGCGACGAGCGATAATCGGATTTCGCGTCGGGCCTTCTGATGTCGGTCGCCGGGATTATGTCGCGCGAAATGATCAATCGAAAATCTTACTTATTTAGCTGGTGTACACATGAGCGTGAAGGTACCGTGATGGAAGGTAAATTACCTTACTTATTTTGTCTTTGGACGTTGGAAATCCAGACTGCAACGAAACTCGAATGAACTTATGCATGTTTCATTTTTGGACGGTGCTTTGTATATTTGTGTTGTATAAATAGCACGAAACATTTGAATACCACACTTTAACGGTTTAAAACGCGATATATTAGTTAAACTTATTTGAAAATAATTTTTAACTTCGGCCCGACGTTTCGGATGCTTTGCAGCAGCCGTATTAATTACCTATTTACAATTAAAAATCCTGGGCCCTGTTTCAAATGCTACTAAGTGCACTCATTACCTCTGGAGCTAAGAAGAGCTGTAAGACAAATTCTTGTAGCTTACCAAACGCTTACAGGTAGGGTTGATGCTGTGGAGCTGAGAGAAGCGCTGTTTCAACTATATTATGTGCCCGGCAATTATCTTCGTGCTCGGAAGCACGAGCTATTTTTAATTCCTACAGCTAGCACTGTCGCTCGTTCTGTCTCGCCTGTCCCTCGGATGCTTAGCGCACTCAATGCGCTCCTGGTCAGCAACCCTAATGTCGATTTATTTTTTGACAGTTATGGAACAATCGTGTCCAATTGTTTAAAATGGTGCGATTCTTCATTGTCCGTATTGTGATTTTTTTTCTTTTTTTACAATTAATGTAATTGGCTTAGGCCGTTTTAGTTGTAGTAAATAAATAAATAAATAAATTACGTGTGTACTCAATCAAATTGAAAATTATGTACATTTCTTAGATCTTTATAACGCTCTACTAATATATAAAGCTGAAGAGTTTGTTTGTTTGAACGCGTTAATCTCAAAAACGACTGGTTCGAATTGAAAAAAAAATATGTTTGCGTTGGTTAGAGCGTTTAGCGAGAAAGGTTATAAGGCTATAAGAAACATGTGCTGTGACAAATAGGAGCGAGGAAATAGCGGGAAACGTAGAAAAAAAGGTGAAAATTACTCATCTTTATGGGTTTCCGATGAGTACGCTGCGTTACGTTGCGATACCAGAAATATATGTATGAAAGAATGATGTATCTTTGAATGATCTAAAGGCAAGAACGATGGGACAGGTAACAGCTTACATTTATAGAAATATGGGGGAGGTTTGCAAAAACAAATTTGTATAACTATTCTACGCGGACGAAGTCGCTGACACAGCTAGTCTTTTTATAATTACGCAAGTTCTAGTATTTAAAATTGCGTATTGTGCAATTTTAAAGAATTGGTTAAATGTGAGAACAGGCTAGTGACCCCGTTGAAGTCTTTTATACAAAGCGCTCGCGCTACTTGCGATAACATTATTTCTACTTTTGAAGCAATTAACTTAAAATAATTATTTTATCGTATACGGTATTCTAGTTTTTATTACTTTTATCTTGTAATATGAGAGATAATGATAATATGAAACTAAAAACTGCACTCCGGATAAATATTTATGCTTGGATTAACAAATTTCAAATGATTGTTTTTTATTTAATCTACTAGCTATGTCCGCATCAGTGGCAATTGGTGGGTTACACTGTTTAAAAATGATAGAGTAAGAGTTACAAATTCGATAGTCGTTTGTGATATTTTCTTTTCTAAATTTAAAAATAACATTACGTAAATAATAATAGTTAATATTAAGCGAGCAAAAGATTGGGAAAATATTTACCATTATTAGCATATTAGCCAAATATAAGTCGATCAGGAGAATTCAATGCCTAACAGTTTATCCGTTTAGGAACCAAACATTTGGTAATGAGACATTGAACCTTCGTCGATCGTGTTATTTCTAAGAATTCATTTCAATCTAAGCGATGTTATAAAGATAATGTTCAGGTATGTATAATGTTTTTTCGGGTATCTTGAACCGTTTTCGCAGCGTACGCAACGGAAACATACAAGGATAAATAGTTACCCTTTTTTTTCACATTTCCCCCTGTATCCTCGCTTCTATTAGTCATTGCGTATTTTATAGCCTTCTTCGATGCTCTAACTAACACGAAAACATTATTTCAATTCGAACCAGTAGTTCTTGAGATTTCCGCGTTCAAACAAAGAAACGAACTCTTCAGCTTTATATGTTAGTATAGATTTGCAAATTAAATAATACCTTGTGTTACTTCTGCACCATTCAAGCTATCGGTGCCCCACAGATCTTCTCTCACATATCAGAGATCTAACCGCTTCATCGTTTAAACATATTTAATTTAGTATAGGTATATTTACTAAAACTTTATTAATTTATAATATTCCAATTTTTGCACAATATTAGCAAAGCTTATAAATATTTCATGAGAGAGGCATCCTATAGCGGCTTGTCTATACTAATATTATAAAGCTGAAGAGTTCGTTTGTTTGTTTAAGCGCGCTAATCTCTGGCACTAGTGGTTCGAATTGAACAATGCCATTTATTGTGGAAGGCTTTAGACTATACAACACCAGGCTACAACCAATAGGAGCGAAGAAACACAGAGAAATGGGGAAAAGTATTATAGTTACGCGCGCTACGAAATTTACGCAAAAAACCAAAAAACCATGTATGAGAAATTGATTTTGAAATGATCTCTCTAAATGATCGGAAACAATGTTTTAAGATTACTTCGCACGAATGACGCGACGGGACACGGACGTCTAAAAAAACGTCTTGTTGTACTATGTACCATAACCATTGTCTTAGTACCAAGTTTTAAAGTGATGATGATGAGGTGATAAAGAGGAGATGAAGAGGTGACGAAGAGGTGATGGGCTCTCCATCATCAGCCCCAAACTCGACCCGACGATATGAGAGTTTTTCAACATATTTTAATCGTGTTAAAAATCCGACAGAGGTCATACCTACCTCAATTTGATGTTGTTAAATATTGCATACATAAGTCTAATTAAGAGTTAATTAAGGTAAAATGTTGTTTGAATGTAAGAGATGCCGACCCGAGTGGGACCGCTACACGAGAGATTTGTAATTCAAATGGGCCCGACTAAAACGGACGCGTTTATTCCACAGAATATAACACTGCGCAATTTAAAATAACGTTAAGGAAATAAGCATTCAAAACTTTCAGGGAATCTGTAATAATCGAAATGCCGGCGTAACGCGTTACGTAACTATTACACTAAATTCTTATTTCGTCTTCGGCAATCGAAATTATCTTCAACTTAGTTCACTGTAGTAAGTGTGAGAATAGAAATCGTTTACGAAAAATGTTCCTATCTTGTAATGTTTGAATACACTGTGACTTCAAATTTAATGTACAGTCAACCAAAAAACAAAGCTAAGCAAAAAACAATTTTACAATACATATCATACAATTAGTTTCAGTATAAATATTATATTTTAAACATGGATTCCTGTTAAATACTGTCTGTTGTTTACGGGAATATGGTTTAAAACGCAATGGTTAAACTTATATTTAATGCTTTGTAAGAAGAAGGGAGACTCTACCACCACGACCGATGTAGAGCATCCGGAACGTCGGGCCGTAGTTAAAATAAATAAGCTTATTTATATCGCGTTTTAAACCGGTAAAATGTTTTATTTTGATGAATTGCTGTTTTTCATTATTTTAACCGCAAGGCACACAAAAGTTTTTTATTTATTTTCGTTTTTTACTCCTGTAAGAGCGAAGCGTGTGTGTGTGTGTGTATATATAACACGTGCAAGTAAGATTAAGTAATTCTCGGTAACAAGACAATTGATATACAGGTTCCAAGTAAGGATAAATTAGGAAAGCTCTATCACGATTCCGTAATAAGTATTCTTATAAGCTTTTTCCAATTATTTCCGCTATGTATTTTGCCTATTAGATAGAGACGATGGCTTACTTCCGCTGTCTTGGAATAAGCATATACCAATAGATGTAAATTGCGATATACCTAATACTGAATGTTGTAGGCAATGGATTACGCCTATACCTAAGTAATACTTTCTTAAAAATATAGGTAACTGGTGTATCGAGACTGAAGTTTTTAATTAACGTGTTAATCACCCGCGTGTTTCAAAATATAAAACCAAATACAAACATGTTGATTCTAAATAACATTAGAGTCGATTGGAGCAAAGATGACATACCTTCATGCTCGCGTTGCCTCCCCCGTCGCTGGACACAGAACGAGAACACTCTCAAAGTCAAACAGATACACACATCGCACTACGGCCTCCGTCGCGCGACTTCTCCCGGCGACAGATTCGTTTCAACTGAGTCTTTCGACGGGGCGAGGCGGCGCCGCGGCTCGCCCCGGCCGAGGCCGCCTCGCTATTGGCCGTGGCGTGGAGGGCGTGGTCGCGACGAGTACCCCGATATAGATAAATCGGAGTAAACTCTGTTTTTTGCGTTCGCTTTCTTGTTGTTTGTTGTTCGAAGTTTGAACGCTCGGATTTGTTTGCTCAAAATGGCGGAATAAAGGTGCGTTTGGAGCCCACTTTTTGTCGTTTGTGATTTATAAACTGCGACTCGATAACATACGAAATCACGCGACTTTGAACTGGCTCATAGGCTTAGTACTTAATTGAATAATGACAATCGATACATGCCGGATTTTTTACTGCGTGATTAAGTAATCCTAACCGGATATGCCATTTTAGGCGCATTTTCATAAGTAAGAGCCAGTTTAGTTCCATGGTTCTATATTAAATCACCCCTCTCTTTAGTATACCCATATAGATATGAACTATTTCTTATTCTGAAGATTTTTTTATTTCACACAAAATAAACATAGGTATAATTAACAAAAATAACAACATAAAATAAAACAAATACTCGAATAGCGATGTAACGCGTTAGGTAACGATGATGTGACCCTGTTATTAGTCATAACACTACAGAGACGTTATGTTATATAATTGACTAGCTATGTTAGCGACTTCGTCCGCGTAGAATATTTATTTTTGGCATCCAAATTTGTTTCTGCAAACCTCCCTTTTATCTTTATAAATTTAAGCTATTCGCCCCCTAATTGGGCGCGTCCCGTCGTTTTTGCAAGTTTAAGATAATAAGTTAAAAGATAGACATTTTATAAAGTCGATAGATCATTTGATGAAGAAATGCATTGAAAACCCGTAAAGATGAATAACTTTCCCCGTTTTTGCCATGGCATCCTTTAGTAACACGATGTTTTACACAAAAATAATTTTTCAATTCGAACCAGTAGTTCCTAAGATTAGCGCGTTCAAACAAACAAACACTTCAACTTTGTGTATTAGTATTACAGAGTATAGATAAGTAAAGTAGAATGTATCCGTTTCTGTAACTTTTAATATGATAATCTAAAATGTTTCTTATGTAGACTGGAAGTATATTAGGTATGTGAGACGAACGGAAAAATATTCAGGTCTGATTCGTCGGACCGTAAGCATTGGAACTATGTCCTTACAAAAGTGACATGTAAGTGCCGTTAGCTTTATAAGCCGTCGCAGCCATTGCGAAGGACGTACAGCGCCCCATCGATTATGAGATTTGTCCGTTCTTCTCCTCTCGACTTGATCCTGTAATGAGCGGAGCTCATGGGGCTTAGGGGCCAGCGAGGGGTTACGTTTTATTGTTTTTGTGGGAAAATTTTAGTTGACAGTTTTCTTAACTTATAAAGCTAATGTTTGTTTGTATGGACGTACCAATCTCAAGAACTACCGGTTCTAATTGAAAGATGTGTTTAGTTATAAGTAATTTAACTCAATTTTTCATCTTTGAGTTTCTGTTTCGTGCGCCGCGAAAACGCGTAAAATACAGATTTACGGGAGTAGTAATTATTTTAACTATGGCCCGACGTTTACCCATGACCACGGCTGCTGCGAAGCATCCGAAACGTCGGGTTGTAGTTAAAATAATTTTCAAATAAGTGAAGTGAAATAAAACTAAGTAAATAAGTAAGTGGCGTTTTAAACCGTTTTAGTGATTTCATCAATACGTCAAAAAGATAAAAAAAGAATGATGCCTCTTTAAATTATATAAAAAATGTCCGCGACACTATATGTCTATCTTTTAACTTGCAAGAACAACGGGACGATCGACGTCGTGGGTAACAGCTTAAACTATAAAGATGAAGAAAAGGTTTGCAAAACCAAATGTGGCTGCCCAAAATAACTATTTTACGCATACGAAGTCGCTGACACAGCTAGTTTACGAATAAGCGGATAAATAATATTCCTTTATGGTTTTGTGATTATCTTTTTGTCACAGTACAAGTCGTATATATAGCACACGCGGTGTCTTCGTTGCGGCAATTATCCTCCTCACTGAATGACTCTTATTTCGAGAGGATAATGGCGCCTTAGCTCTGTCGTTCTCCTACGAACGCTAGTGTTCGTCGGCCTTTAATATAGAAAGAAGAAGAAAGAAAGAAACATTTATTTAATGCCACAAAATTTTAAAATACAGCAACATAGTTAAAACTAGATTCTTAAGCTAAAATTTAGTGGCACGTCGGGATTCAGACTCAGCTGAATGCTGCACAAAGGGGATCAGCGCTGCTTTTCAGTCTGCTCCCTCTGGCCGAAGTTTTCTAAGGTATTAAAAATGTGAGTGGCGCAAGCATAGAATATTAAATACACATATTTAAAACTAAATAATAAGATAAAAAAATAAATTAGTTTTAGGAGAAGAAGTAAAAAAGAGAGAGAGGTTTTAATCGAGCTAAAAAACATCATGATCTACGTCCGAAGCGCGGCCGCAGGGGGCGGCACCGGCGCGGTGCGAGGGCGGGCGGCGCGGGCCGAGAGCGGGGGCGGGCTGTAATTACGGAGTTTCAGGCGTCGATACGTGGAGTGAGCCTTCCGCCCGAAGCGGAGGCCGGAAGGATCGATTTTTCACTTGCAACTGTGAATTTGCAATTCTAATTGAGTCCGAGCCCTCGCCGTTTTCACAGACGAACGGTTTTGCCAATTTTATCAATCTCCCCGAACTCACGAAATAACAATTTTAGATGGACTCTTGACGTGCTCAACTCGAGGGGTTCGATTCCCGTCTACGACGCGTTCGTAAAGGTCGATTTTTTAATTTATTTAAGAAAGAAACATAACAGAAACACGAAAAGTACAATTTTATAGTAAGACTACATAGGTATATGTATAAAAGTAATGTAAACAAACATATATCTTTAAATGATTGTTATTTTTTCTGAACAATGATAGAATCCGTCCGGATGGAAAAGCTGAATCTCCATTTAGAATTCAGTTTGTGAATTTCTGCAACACAAAACAGGCCGACAACATATTGATGTTTTGATGTAAAATGACAGCGGTATTTGACCTACCTTAATTGAATTGCACGCTTGTCTGTCCTTCTTTGTTTAAAGAAAAAAAAATACGAGTCTGTGATCATCGTTGTCTTTACGTAGCGTCATTCCTTCATGTAATCCAAAATTTGTTTGGCTACAAAACCTTTATTTCTTTGTATTATTATCTAGGAAACTATATAGTCATAGAATCGTTAAATCCGAATCTCGACATGCTTATTATTATGCAGGCGCATCTCCTATCTCTTTCTATCCAGTGGGGTGCGCGAGAGATGCCAGATGCACAAATTCGCGGTTTGTTAGTCGCCGGGGCGAGGGGTCAATACCTTCCGAACACGGCGCAGATAACTATCAAATATTATATTAGGCAGTTTAGCAACGAATCAAGGAGTTTTAATATACAAATATGTTCGGATTAGAAATAGTCATTTTACTTGTCTCTGATTCTCATCAAAATCTATCGAACCGTTTGGACGTAAAAAGGAACAAACATTCTTTAGTATAGGATTTAAAATGGCGGTTGTAATAACTGTTTAAATGGTACGCAGAGATATAAACTTCGATCAGATAGATAAACTTCTACATGTTATTGCACATGCTGGCATTATATAGATTAAAAATCGAAAATATTTTTTTTTATTACATTCCGCGCGAGGTGCATATAACAATAAGTTGAAAAAATCCGACGACGACGTTTGGGATTGGTAGCTCAATTAGTAAGAGCAACAGTACGGAAAGCTGACAATGCCGCTTCAAGTCCTGCCCGAGACGAAAATTTTTTCAATATATTTTCGATTTTTAAATTATATAGTGCCTTCATGTGCGATAACATGTAAAAATTAATAAAGTTTTCAAATGTCTTCAATTAATTTTAAGTTTTTAATCTGTATACTTTATTTTGCTGTCATATTTTTCGTGTACGATCGTCCTAACGAATTACCAAACCCAAACTATCAAAATAATTGAGGCAATTTATCTAGATCTGCGTTTTGTATACATTTGCGAACAGGTGTACCTAACTGCCTACACGTGAATTGATTGACTCAAATCTTATTCGAATTTATCTACGACGTCGATAAAAGTTACGTCACGGATGGGCGAATTGAAAAAGCGAATAATTATGCTAAATCTGTTCGTTATCTTGTCAGTTTTTATCTTAGATAAATGTTTTATAGTAAAACTATTACGAGCAGTCTGCGATATTTGTTCGAAATCAATTAAATTTATAATACAGATCGATTCAAAGTCTGTGAATTACTACTGGATAAAGTATGCACTTAAATTAGAATGCATACTGTGAACTCACAGTTTATTAATGAAAATGTATTGAATGCCCATAAGAATAAAAGCAAGTTCAAGAATATTGTTAGCCTTAATTTGAACTTAATAAATAAGTATAAACTATCCCCAAATATAGGCTCCATAAAAAAACTAATTCATTTGCGGGATATTCGTGCCAGTTGAGGTTGTAAATTTATCAATTTATTGTTTGAACGATTTCTTTATTGACAACACCTGGCAGTGATATGAATTGCTCCTTAGGTTAATGAATTCACAAAAACGTATTAAATACTGTCTATAGTTGACGCGAGTAGTACACATTTAAATAAAACACTTTAACGGTTTAAAAAATACGTATTACTTCATAGCAATCTTTTCGATCATGTCGCTCTTTTGAATACTGTGCAGAATCACGACGGACAGACAGACAAACATTTTCTTTGTCGAATGTATTTAATTATTAAAATTTTTAAAGGGAGTAAATTATATTCCATTTCGCAGTGACAGCCTGTCTACCCTAAGGGGCGATGATTTTCTGGGTCCCTCCCAGAGATACATTTTTGTACAAACAAGAAGCTGTCCAACTGACTGAATCAATTCGTTACGTAACCTCGGGAATCGAACCCGAAACTTCGCGCATAACATTAGGGATACATAGCACGTACAAATTGCGTAAAATGCGAAAATAGAGGGAAATCCTTGTATCTGTATGTGGTGTGTAACAAAACAGTGCTAAATTGAGTTGGGCCGCGTAAGGCTCCGTGTTTTGGGCTATGAGGGTGACCAGCTTTCGTTTAAACTAAAGACCATTTTAAACTTTTCCTCATGATCTTAAACGGAATTCCATGACCGCTTCATCACAATTCTACATTAGTTTCGCAGACCGATTATTTTAAAACAACTAGTTGGTCAAACTTCTAAATACTGTCTGTAGTTTACGCGAGTAGTACACATTTAAATAAAACACTTTAACGATTTAAAACGCGATATATATTAGTTTCAGATTTTCCGTTTCAGATGCAGCAGCCATCGTCACGACTAAAGATGGAGGGTAACTCTGACATCAAAGTTAAAAACTGCCACTGCTTCCCCCTTACCGTAGATAAAATGATTTTCTAATAAGTTTAACTAATATATATCACGTTTTAAACCGTCAGTCTTTTATTTTAACGATCAAACTGCTGTTGTGATTTCCCGGTGTTCGGAAACGGGACCTCACGCGCTTAATCCAGTCCCACCAAGGCATATATAGACCATCTTGTTCTGGCTTCAACAGGCCACACAGCCTAGTTAAGGGCTATGCCAGAACTGTATCCTTGAAAATGAAGCAGCGTGGACACCGTCGTCTCAGTGGGAGAAAAGCGTCCCTCGGGATGCTATTAACAATCAGCAGATCTTGTCCGTGTCGCTTCCCCCTTTCCTCCTTCATGTACTCTATATACAAGTCACCACTCATTCATCGGTCATATAATTTCAATAGTCAATATTTTTACTGTCAACTTAGTTAATTCTTGCTTTATTTTTTAATATATTAATGTGGCGTATTTTTTTTTTTCGATTCGAAAAAAAGTTGTTGAAAATTTTCGACTCGGGCAGGACTTGAACCGGCATCGTCAGCGTTCCGTGCTGTTGCTCTAACCAACTGACTCGAGTGTGACTCACTAGCTTAATTGGTTAGAGCAACAGCACGGAACGCTGACGACGCCGGTTCTAGTCCTGCCCGAGTCAAAAATGTTTTCTATTTTTGTTTTCGATTTTTAAAATAAGTACGTACCAAACAAAAGGCTCCATAAAAGTAGTAGTGCTTTTCAAGCATACGATACTTTAATAAAATCCCCAGCGAAGTGAAAACAAAAACTGCTTGAAAAGGGTTATTATCACGTTAATCAATATTTAAATGATAAAAATGCTTGGGGTGTGGACTAACCCGCTCTTACAAGGAAAAATATGTAGTGCACTAAAATTAAATCAAGATTGTAAAATGGAACTTGGCGATAAAAGGCGTGACGGCGAGTTTATTGCCAGTTCTTCTTGTTCGTTCTACACCCTTGATTTGAGAACTGGTAGTAAAAGTAAAGTTAGATTCTTTAATTATTTTGTGACGTTCATAAGTGTACATTAACTTTTTTGATTATTAATTAAATTAAATTTTTAATATCTGTTTATAACATAGCAAACCTTTTATTTAATATCTGTCACACAAACGAAACTGCGTGTTAAATAAACTACTAAATCTATAATAATGATATAAAGCTGAAGAGTTTGTTTGTTTGACGCGCTAATCTTAGGAACTACTCGATCGAAATGAAGAATAGTTTAAAATAAATAAATCAAATATACGCGCAATTACAATGTTTCAGTCGGACGGGACCCATTAGGCTGTTCTACTTGTTTATATTTTAAGAATTGATCAGCGAAACGGACGCAGAACTGTGTCAGCGCTATATAAAGAAACCGCCTGTGTAGCTAAATGGTTAAATGTGCTATCATTGTGCCGCGAGAGGTCTTTTGGGTCGAGTCTCGGGGAAACAATAGATTATATATATCCACGTGCCTCTAAATAAATCCCGCGCCCCACGGGGAGAAACGCAGTTTCCCTCGTGTAAAAGAAATGAGATTAGGTTTTTTTTCGATACGCACAAACGTTTAAAGCGCTCGCGCCGTGACATTTGGCGCTAAATTGCTGCGTCGGTCCCTCGCAAGGCTAAGACAATTAGCACAATGGGATTACTCTGGCGCAGCCGAGCGTTCGATGCGATTACGCCCCCGCCTCCCTTCCTTCTTCGAATGTCGAAGTTCCACCCTGGTCACGATCCACAGATCGCACGTGGTACGTCCTGAAGTGTAAATCCATGCTTCAGACGTCGTCCGCGACCTATTTATTTTTGCTAAACACCTCTGCAGCTATATAAATCATAGTTGTTACGTCTGACGACGTCTTATGCGTGCCGTCATTGTATCTACTGTCGCAGACATTTTTTTTTAATTATTTAAAGAGTAATTATTCTATCAAACATGTTTTTTCCAACCCCTTTTCAAACCACTTCCTCGATAAATGCTTTAACCGACACAGAATTTTCTTTAATGAAACCAATAGTGCCTGAGATTACCGCGTTTAAACAAACTAACAACACGAGGTTTTTTTTAAATGTTAAACAGGATATCTAGACGGGAATCGAATCCACAATAGAACAATAGATTTAGCACGAGCTAGCTTGCAATTCTCAAATTATTATATGTGTGATTAAAAACCTATTCAATATCTATTTTCAATATTATTTTTTATTACTTAGTTTGGTTAATTAATTCTTTATCATCCATATATATTTCGTTGTTTACCCAATTTCAACAGACGCACAGAATTTGTGAGACTGCCTATGTAACTAAATGGTTAAACATGTTGCCTAGCATTGCGTTAAGCGCTAGAGGTGTCGGGTTCGAATCCTGGGGAAACATTAAATTCGGTCGGGAAGGGCACAGCAGTCTGTTCAACTACTTGCCTGTAAATAAAGCCGACCAGTGAAACGGACACAGAAATGTGTTCGCCTCATACCCCATGAGGGGAAACGGGATTTCTGGGTGAATTAAAAATTTTGCAGTTGGTTAGCAACTAAACAAGCGTCGCTCTGGGACTTGTTAGTGTAACTACTCATTTTCAATTGTGATGTTATCGTTCGTAATACGGCATCCCGAGGGATGGGGGTGTACTAGGGCGCTCTAATTCTTACGCGGGCGATATTTATATCACGAGATAGTTTCACAATAACAAATGAGATCATTAAATAAATAACGCCTTGTTTTAACACACATATGAGATGTGAATGCGGTCAAATTACTTTTAACACTGTCTATAGCTTACGCGAGTAACACGTTTAATCAAAACACTTTAACGGTTTAAAACGCGATATATATTAGTTAAACATATTTGAAAATTATTTTGCAGATCATCCAAAGCGTCTCACCGTAGTAAAAATAATATTCAAAGAAGTTTCCAATATATACCGCGTTTTAAACCGTTAACGTGTTTTATTTAATTTTAAGACAGTTACGATTTATAGCTCTCACGCCTCCCAATAGCCAAAAATTAAAAGTCCATATACATTAAGTTTTCTTAAGGGAAAATCAACAAATAATATTTAGTCCTAAGCCTGATTTATGGGCGAGCGAGTTGACCGCTCCCGTTTTTTTTTTCAATTAGCCCTTTCGTATCTTGTTGTGGATGATTCTCTTTCGCAGTAAATCGGATACATTCAAATGCACGATTAGTTATGCTTCGCCAAGATTCGTTTATTTTTTTATTTCGAATCACGCGCAAAGTAGCCCGCATAAACCCAGTGCAACTCTCCTAAGTGGAAAATGAGGCGCATGAATCACTGTGTAAGTTTTATCGACTGATGTTTTCAAAGCGAGTCTTCAATGATTTCCCGGGACTCGAAGCGGGAACTCGAGTCGACATTAGGTGCTTGAGATACATTATTTACTAGGGCGATAACGTCAATTCTAATTGTATTTGCGGTCACATTATACAGTCCAAATTAAAAAAAAAAATCGTCAATGTTCAACGTATGTTTCAAGCATATGCACTGGTGCAAGGGGCAGACATAATTTTGAGTCTGGTCTTAAGCTGATCTTTCTTAAACGTCAAGTTAGCGATTACTGCCATAGCGCAGAACGCAGGTATCAGGTGCGACTAAGGGGGTAAGCGGGTGCGGAGGGACTCGGATTTCTTAAAATTGATAGTACCATGCGCAAAATGGCGCTCGCGCTAATTTCAGCCCGGCCAAAAGGTCTGGAGAGAACTGTATTATGCGTTGGTCTTCGATGCTGGAAATCGTAGGCGTCGCCAGAGCGCGAAGGGCCGGTCCTGTCAGCTGTTTACACACTCCGCGATTTATTCGCCGCTGATAATAAGCCGTGGCCCGACGACAGATATATGGCCCCTCATATTTACGACTGTTTGTTCGCAACTACCGAGTGCAGAAACGTCTTAAAAGTTCCCCATGGCTGTTGTACTTGAATTCGTTTTAAATTCATGCCAATCCGATATCACCTTATTGAGATAGATAAGAACCTTAATTATAGTTCAATTGCGTACATCACAGATTTTTCGCTAACGTCAGTTTACCGGTGGAATAAATTGCGTTGTATTATTTCTTAACTAGCGATGTCAGCTACTTCCGCGTGGAATAGTTACTTTGGGCATCCAAATTTGTTTTTGCAAAGATTCTCTTCATCTTTGTAAATTTTTGACATTACCCACGATGTCGGTCGCGTCCCGTCGTTTGTGCAAGTTAATCTAAAAAGATATATATATACTATCGCGAACATTTTACTAGATAATTTAAAGAGGAATCATTATTTGATACATATGTTTTGGTATCATGAACCGTTTACGCAGCGTCTGCTTCGTAGCGTTGCATTGGAAACCCACATAGATGAATTACTTGTCCCGTTTTTTTCCAAATTCCCTGCTGTTTCTGTACTGTTATTAGTCACAGCACGTTTTTTTATAGCCATATATTTTTCCTCGATAATATCTCTAAGCACAAAAAGAATTCTTCAATTTCGACACCTGAGACACTTCCTGAGATTTGCGCGTTCAAACAAACCAACTTTTCAGTTTTATATCTTAGTGTAGATAATGTTAATGTTATCAAATATCTGTAATTGCATAATCACTAAAAGCGAGCATTTTACCTGCTTAACACAAAACTTTATTCGCCCATGGCAACAGACAGATTGCAAACCAACCCGGAGCCATTGAACCCCCCTCCCCCTCCCCCATAATATTCAATAGCACCGGTCGATGTGCCTCGCAATGTATTATCTACTAATTATCGGGCAGCACTATTCGTGAATTGGAAATATGTGAATAGGCATTCGTGGACCACCATTTCGGCCGCCATCTATAATCGCCATTACAAATAATGTAGTACTTGGCCTCAGTTAAAATAATTTTCAAATAAGTTTTACATACATTAATACATACAACAGCCGTTTCCACGAGCATAGACTAATCGAACGAAACGAGTATGTATTTAAATTAGGCACTTTAACGGTTTAAACGGCGATTTAAACCGTTAAAGTGATTATTACAATGGATACTCGGTTCGTTCGATCGGTCTATGCCCGTGACCACGCCTGCTGCAAAGCATGCGAAACGTCAGGCCGTTGTTAAATAATTCTCAAATAAGTTTAATTAATATATATCGAGTTATAAATCTAAATCTTATATAAATGTGTACTACTCGCGTAAACTACAGACAGTATTTAGTCTATGCTGTTTTTTCTAAGAAACATTGTTAATTTCAAAGTGAATATAGTCAAGTATGTCAAGCCACCGATGGATAGGATTATGCCGATTATGAGGAAAGGGTTTTTGACCAGGCTCCGTGGATTTCGAGCTCAACGACAGCTGACGCAAGAAACGACGCCGAAAAAGAACGAATAGTGTTTGACGCTGATTGACTAGGGGGAGTACTTTTTTTAAGAGGGTTGGAGGGTAGGTGATATAACCCCAGCCTATAGCATGATGCGCTGTTGACCCATATTGGCTTTGGATAATCGGAAATTCACAGAACGAAACCGAAACGCGAGTCATCTGTGGTCGGTGGTTCGTGACCCGGACGTAATTTCTATATTCCTATCACCCATTTAATCTCCAGATTTCCAGACGAAGTTCAGCATGTTTCAGAAATAATATAAATGGATCCGTTGATCATTGGCCATGCATTGCTGCCATTAAAACAACGCGCCTGTCAAATACTTTCAAAACAACAATTATTTATACACTGCACCCGGTGAGAATCGAACTCACCATCGATTAGTTACAAAAGCCAGCCATCAGACCAACGAGCCTATTTCTAGTATGTGTTTTTAGTGATGGAAAATTTTAAACAAACCTATTCCAACGTCAATTATAGCTGCTAAGGATAGTAAGCTGAAACCAAATAAAAAAATAATATAATTCTAAAACTACCCTAACGCTTCTAGAGCTAAGGTTGAAATTACATTGCGCGAGAAGTGCATTTATCAAAAAAATTTGACGATGACGTATGGAACACGGCAGCTCAATTGGTAGAGCAACAGCACGGAACGCTGACGATGCCGGTTCAAGTCCTGCTCGAGTCGAAAATTTTTTCAATTTATTTTCGATTTTTAACTTTTGTTTCTTTCATGTAAATAGCTCGAAAGTGATTGTTTAATATAATTATTTCAATGCGATGCAATTATAATTGTGAATAATCTCCCCATGCCTGTAGCCAGTTATCATAAATTAGTAATTATCAGTAATACCCGCCCAACCACTCTGGGGCAGCTGTGGCGTGGTGGGATAACCTCTTAAATGCTCTCTCCTAAGACCGAAGCCCAGCAGTTAAACATTAAGCAGTTTCAACGACAACTCTAGAGCATAGCAATTTAAGAGAAGTGCTCAAACCTTCCCCAAAAGAAGGGTTTTGAAGATTGTTCAGGCATGAGAAAGATATTTATACCCTGAAAATGTTTCACTTCATGTCTCCATATACGGCTGTAAGGAAGATTGGCGAGAATTACTCTATCTTATAAGCAATTTCTTGTGATTTGTGCTAAGTTTTCTACTCGTTGTAAATTTCAATTGTAAATGACAATGTCATTCATTGCAATACAGAGTATCTATTTTTTATTATAATTACCGCAGACTTTTTATATGTGTCATCTATATTTAAGTCTGTGATTGTTAATTTATTTATTTAATAACAGCTATTGCCTAAGGGACTAAATTCATCACCTAACTTTCCGAACCCTGAATATGCCACATTCTTGTGCAGAATTAAGGAATTCCCTGAGCAGTCATATCATGCCTAAGCATTGCTGCGTAGAGTTGTGCACGAGCATTTCGGCCAGTTGATGCCCGTGATACCGATGATTTGTCAGGGCAGAAATGATTAAATCCGTTCTCCCCCCTTAAAATATTTGTTGCAAACTTAAATGAAGCAATTTCTCTTCTTCTTTCGAGAGAATTGTATCCTAAGGTCCCAAAAAGGAACTTTGTGGGATAGAGGTGCATTGCTGTCAGACATAGAGAAAAAATGATATAGTTAAGCTACTTAAAGAACTATCAGAGTTTCCGTTGTCAAAATAGAATTAATAACACTATTTCTATTTTTGTCTAAACCTTTTTTGCGTTTTTTTTGTCGTTCAGTTCAAGTTCATCGTAATTATAATTATCTAAATGATTAATCTTTATGAGACAGAGTATAAGTAGAGAAGCTTTTTTGATGCCATTATACAAACTACAAAAAACGGAGACCCGTCTACTAAAACAAATGATATATTTCTGTTACTTACTAACTACTACTAGTAAGCAGTAACACCATCTTGTGTTGTTTTTTTTTCATTTAAAAATTTCCTTTTACGATTGAGCAAATAATAGAAATCTATTTTGAAAGAAATTAGGGAAGATAATTTTAGATGAGATCGAAAGAAATGATAAACCTTACAATAAATACAAGTAGCTGATAGCTAGAGAATAATCTTCATCTCAGCATGGAGCCGATCGTAGCATTGTCTGCCTTCATAGTACGTGCTTTTGTTAAAAAAGTTTTCTTTCAACTCTCATATAAAACGAAAAAACATGTCGTTGGTCATTTTAAAATTTATCCATGTTTTATTTATTTACTGGCTGTGCCAGCTTCGTCCGCGAGAATCGTTATTTTGGGCATCCAAATAAGTTTTTGCTAATCTTTATAAATTTGCTTAATTAAAAGCTTTTAGCCACAACGTCAATCACTTCCCTTCCCGTCATTCTTGCTAGTTAATCTTAAAATATAGACATATAGCGTCACAGACTTTTTTTAGATCATTTATAGGGAACTCGTTCTTTCATACACATTTTTAGGAATCTTAAACCGTTTTCGCAGCATACGCATCTGAATCTTACAGAGATTTTCATTTCCCCCGTTTTGTTCACATTTCTCGCTGTATGTTTGCTTCTATTAGTCACATCGCAATGTGTAGCCTATAAACATCCTCAAGATGCTCTAACCAACACAAACTGTGTACTTGCTACTTAGACTTTCAACACAAACATATTTTTTCAATTCAAGCCCGTACTTCCTGAGATTAGCGCGTACAAACAAACTCTTCAGCTTTATATATTAGTATAGATAAGAATTATTACATTATTGCTTCAACATTTACAGCAAATAACATATTTCATGTGATATTTTTGTCAATTGCTAATATATTATTAATATATCGCGTTTTAAACCGTGAAAGTGTTTTATTTAAATGTGTACTACTCGCGTTAACTACAGACTAGGAATTAAACTAAGATCTGAGCTATTGGGAGCTAACGTTTCGCTCGCTACAAGTTGAAACGAAGTTCTGTTAATCTTTCTCATCGAAGTGTGCCTATAATTCTGTTACTCGTATCTCACTAGGCGTAAACATTGGACCCGGGGAAAATCGTAAACTCGGTGATTTCGTCGCTCGTAACGAACTGTTTGCAGCGCACGGGGCAGGTAATCTAATCTGAAACCCCTCGCCCCCACCCCGCGCCCCTCGACCGCCCCGGTGAAGCGTCTTTACCGATGTTTATTTCAGTATCAGGATCGGGCCGTACGTGCCCCGAATGAAGGTCTGATTGCAATAAATTACGTTGAATTAGAGTTATACTGTTTTTCCGAGGACCGGCGACGGCGGGGAACTTCTACAACGCGATCGAAGTATTTTAAAGATGTAGAGTTTAATATTTTTCACATGTTATTGCACATATAGATTAAAAACCGAAAATATACTGAAATATATTAGATACGCATGTGCTAAGGTTGAAATTACATTGCGCGAAAGGTGTATGTACCTATCAATAAGTTGGAAAAAATCGCCGATGTGGTGTAGGACTCGGTAACTCAATTGGTAGGGCAACAGCACGGAACGATGACGTGCCGGTTTAAATACTGCTCGAGTCGATTTTTTTTTTCAATTTATTTTTGGTTTTTTATCTATTTTAAAAACTTTATTTTTTTTTAAATAAAACAGCTTGGCATATTAATGCTGTACAAAATAACCAAGTAATTCTTCTATTTATTGCATCTTAATATAAGTTATATTAAAATATAACAATCATCCACTGAACAAAGAATTTAACTAATTTATTTTATCAAAACCATGAAAATATTCACCTACAGCGTATTATCTTTTATTTATTGTCTTCGCTTAATTAACGTTTTATGTTTCTATATTGTAATTGCAATGTTTTTTACAGCACAGATACGATTAATTAAAAAATAAAATTATAAATTATTGATATACCCACAAAGATATGTATATATATATAGCTGCTTATAACTACGGATAATTTCATTACTCCCTTATTAGTTTGTAGAACGTTGTTTTATATTTCGGAAGAGTTCTTCGCTTCTTCGAACCGTTTGAAAATTCGAAAATGCGTATATCACAATTTTTAATAACAATGTCTATCGTAGCGATCTGTGACTCGGCGAGGATATTGATAGTGTTCTCGACGCACTGGGTTAGCCACCAAGCGGTATTTCGTCCTGTCATCCTAGAACTCGTGAGAAGAGGTCACAAGGTCACGTCGATCACGGCACAACCGATTTTCAAAAATAGAAAATTCGATAATTTTATAGAAATAGACGTCTGTAACGTATCGAAGCATGTCGCAGATGATCTGGTGGGGAACAAGCTGAAACTAGCTAAAGATGTTGTCTCTCAGTACGAGGAGACCTGGAAAGCTCTGAGTAACAATTTCAAACACCAATTGTATTCTGATGAGGTCAAAAAGTTAGTTGCGAACGGCATGAAGTTTGATGTGATCTTAACGGAGCTATGTGCACGGTCGAACATCATATTGGGGTACATAGCCGATGCGCCCGTCATAGAAGTTAGCTCTTTTGGCAGTTTCATAGATACCACTGAGACTATCGGGTCGGTGACTCATCCAGCGCTCTACCCGCTGGCGTTTCGTGAAAATTACGGAAGCGAGACAATACTCGGCCAGATGTCAGAAGTGTACAAACACTATAAGGTGCTACGGGGTTATCAGAACTACGAAGTAGAAGAGAACGAGATGCTAAAGAGACGATTCGGAAACGACGTTCCACCGATAAGTGAGATAAGGAAAAAGTACGTTCAGGCGACGTTCCTGAACGTGGTTCCCATTTGGGACTCGAATCGCCCGGTTCCGCCTAATCTCATATATATAGGGAGTTTGCCTAACTACGTCCCCAAAGAACTACCGCACGATTTGAAAGAGTTTCTCGATGCATCCGAGCATGGAGTAATTTACATGAGCTTCGGGACCAGCTATCCGACGGAGTTATTAAAATGCGACACAGTAAACGCAATAGTAAAAGCCTTTACGCACCTTCCGTATTCCGTCGTTTGGAAATGGGACGATGTCAATATGCGGTTACCAGAAAAAATTAGACTATACAAATGGGTACCTCAAGCGGACTTGCTTAGGCATCCGAACGTAAAACTATTCATAACGCAAGCCGGATTACATTCGACGGATGATGCTATTCAGGCCGGGGTCCCAATGCTGGCGATACCCTTGGCGTGGGACCAGTCCCTGAATGCCCACAAGCATAGGGAGCTGGGACTCGGTATTACGTTGGAGCCTAAAAACGTCTCTGAAGGCAATCTCGTGAAGGCAATTCAGGCGATCATTGAGGACGACAGGTACCGCCGTAACGTGAAAACAGTTCTTGAAGCAATGCGCACGGCACCAAACTCTTCGTTGGGCAGAGCTGTCTCGTGGATCGAGTTCGTGGCCCTGCACAAGAATCTGACGTATCTGAAAACAACTGCTGCCGTTTTGACGTGGAGGGAATATTACGAATTGGATCTATTTATTCAGGTAATCTTTTCCCTTTGTACAGCTGTGGCTGTCTTCGCGTGGACCTTTATCTTCTTTTATCGTTCAATAAACAAGTTAGTAAAAGTGTAATTACATTTAATTATTACGTTAATTGGGTAAATAAAATGTGTATTAAATTATACATTAAATGCAAATTATAAATAAACCATTGGTAGGGAAGAAAGAAACGAATGATTTTGGATTCAACGATTTTTATCAATATAAATAGAACTCAGAAACACTGTCTGTAATGTACGCAAGTAGTACACATTCAAATAAAACACTTTAACGGTTTAAAACGCGATATAAATTAGTTAAACTTCGTTGAAAACTATTTTAACTACGTCTTGACATTTTGAATGCTTTGCAGCATCCGTGGTCACGAGGACCTAATATATATCGCGTTTTAAACCGTTAAAATGTTTTATTTAAATTAAATTTCTATTGTAAAAGGCTAACTTGTAAGAATAATATTTCTTTAATCATTTAATAGTTGTAATCAGTAGTGTCTTACTAACTCTACCGCATTCGATATAGTCATAGTTAGATATAATATATACGTAACAGTGGGTAATCACCGACATCGACAACATTATGCGAATTTATTCAAAAGTGTTAACCTCGGGCGAGGCTATCATTAGATCCGGGAATGATCAAAGGCGTACAATCAGTGGATGCGAATTGTAATTTTGGTTCATTCTATTCACAATTCACTCATTCGCCGAACGAATGAGTTGCGTGAGAGCGATTTGTTGACACGCGCCTTCGCACCTCGCTGCCCACCAACAGCGTTATACTATTGCGGGTACTGAGCGAAACTGTACTCTAGTGCCTGGGAATAAGAGCTATGCGTCCATAGATCTGATTTAGTTGTGTTTAACTTGATCACGTAGCAATTACGAAAAGGATATATAGATTGTTCGGAAGCGAGCGACGTCGTGCAATAGAATAAGATTAGTTTGATGAAAACGAGGTCCGCGTCCAAATTATGGGGCGCGTGCGCCGTGAAGCATACGCGAAAACAATGGAAGCTTTCTATTGAAATGATCTAGTGAGCGAATAAGTGTACTTACATATTTTACGAATTATTACAATCTGTGTCTTTTAATACTATCTGCAACTTCGGCCCGACGTTTCGGATGCTTTGCAGCAGCCGTGGTCACGGAGAGACTAAAGATGAAGATGTCTCTGACGTCGAAGTAAGAATTGCTATGCGCTATCTGTTTTGTCGAAGTTGGTATTTGGCGAAACTGGCATAATTGAATTGACGAGTTACCGTTGTATAGCGCTAGCGATGCAATTTTTACTTTGACTTCAGAGGCGTCCTCCATCTGTTGTCTCCCCGTGACCACGGTTGCCAAAAATAATTATAAAAGAAATATTTTTGAATAAGTTTAACTAATATATATCGCGTTTTAAACTGTTAAAGTGTTTTACTTAAATCTCTGTCTTTAATATTGCATGTTTTATCTGTTAGTTGACGGAAAAGTTGTTTTTCTTAATAAATTATTATTGTAGTTTTTTTCTTTTTGTGTTTCCCTAATGGATTTTATTTACAGTCGTTTAGACCTCTAGCTTGTACAAGGCAATCTACTTCGAGTCACAAAAGCGAATTATTAAATAGAGTTTTCGTAATACTTCTTAATTATGATTTACGTAATCAAGAAGTGGGCCCTTTTTGAAAAGAGTAAGCAAGAATTATACACAGCGATTTGCAATAGTTTCAGTCTGGAAAAGAACAAAAATCAAATCTGATCAACTGCTTGTTAAGTTATACAGCTTATAAAAAATAGGATATTAAGTAAGGTCGAGGTATATAGAACACAGGCGAGACTTGAACCTGACCCAATAAATATAAATAAAACATAACTGCTAGTCTGCTTCATTGATTCATTGTATTTACAGGTGTAGTCATAGTTACAGTATTCCCAGGATTCGAAGCCGCGACTGAGCCTCGGCGTCGGCGAATGTAAATAGTTTGTACTTGACCCGTAGCGTCTAGTTTCTAGGTCAGAATCCTGTGAGCGGATCGAATAGCTTGTCGTGCCTTAGTCAGGAATCAGGGGGGGGGGGGGGCAGTACAGAACGCCTACGCCTCGCCGTAAACCAGATTAACGTTCGGCCCGTGCGACAAGTTTACGAAGTCAGAAGGACGCTTCGCGGAAAGAAGATTGACCCGACTTAGGGAAATAGCAGATGAGTACGCGACGCACACGCGATATTTTTTTTTCGTGATAGAGTAGGACACACTTTGCCAGATGTCCATTGATGGTAGGTAATATACCCCAGCCTGTAGCATCTAAACAAGATCGCTGTCCTATTTTGGCTTTGGATATTCGGAAATCCACAGACTGAAATCAAATCGTGATCTGGACGGCGCTTCGTGATCTGGACGGAATTTCATTAAATTTAATCCTACCCGTTTAATATCCAGATTTTCAGACATGTTTCAGAATAATTATAAATTGAAAGATTTGAAACATGGACCCGGTGGGGATCGGACTCACGACCCGTTGATTATAAGCCATACATAGCTACCATTAGACCAACCTTAGTTTCACCTCTATTTATCGTGTTTTGCATATGTCCGAACTCTGGCAGTAACTAAAAACTAAAGCGCTCATAATAACATTAGTGTGGATAATTAAGCGCAACATACAAGGGCTCGACTTAAAAAAGCGTGGGTCTTTAGAAGTATGACGTAGGGACGCGGTCGCAGGGGATGACGAGAGGAGGGGGAGTCTCGTATTTATCGAATTAGGCCTGTAATCACCGCTCACTGTCTTTTTGAGTGCAGTGCGAGTCAACGATAATGATACTCGATGAAAAGTTGAAACATCACTTAAAATTAGCAACAAATTACCTACATATTAATCAGATTTAATTCGAGTCTTTCGACTTAAATTACAAAGAACCTAGCTGACTTCGTTCGCGTAGAATAGTTGTATTGAGTCTTTATTAATTTTGTCTTTATAAAGCTGTTCGCCACGCAGTCGGACGCGCCCCATCAAATATTCTTAAAGGATAACATTATTGTGTAAATAGATCATTTAAAGAGGCATCATTTCTTACATGTTTTTTTGGGTATCTTAAACCGTTTTCGCAGCGTAGGCATCGGAAACTCGTAAAGATGAATATTTTTATCCATTTCTTCCACATTTCTCGCTGTTTCTTCACTAAGTACCTACTACTAATTAGTCATAACGATGTTTTTAGCCTATATCCTTCCTCGATAAATATTCTAACCAACACAAAAATAATTTTTCAATTCGAACTAGTAGTTCCTGAGATTAGCGCGTTCAAACAAACAAATTCGATATGCATAGTAATCAAACAAACCAATAAACAATAATAAACAGAGATTTCAAATAAAGATTTAGTACTTAGAGATTTTTAACGAATATTCGCTAGAACTACCGTCATCCTCCTCTGGCATTAAAAATGGATCGAAAATATCAAAAACGCTCGTTCCAAGTACACAAGGGGGTGGCGAGGTGGCGCGTGCGACGTGTGTAATTATGTATGAGCTGAATCAATCGCGATTCATGTTGACCGGCGAATGCGGTTATCAGTAATAGTATTATGTATCGTAAAAGAATCAAAATCGATACATCTCTTTAATTTAACGACAACGAGCGGTGTCAGCGACTACGTCCGCGAGATTCGTTATTGTTGGCATCCAAACTCGGTTTTTCAAACCGCTTCCTCTTTATAAACTTAAGCTGTTTCCCGTCCTTCTTGCAAGTTATGACATTTTTTCATATAATTTAAAAATGAATATTTCGTTTTCTACATATTTTGTTGATATCTTGAACCGTTTTCGCAGCGTACGCATCGGAAGACGGTGAATGAAGGTAGGTAGGAATATCTTTCACATTTCCCGCTGTTTCTTCGCTCTTATTAATCACAGCGCTATGTTTTATAGCCTACAGCCATCCTCGATAAATGCTCTAAACAAGCCAAGAAGAATTTCTAGCATCTACCAGTACTTCCTAAAATAAGCGCGTTTATACAAACGCTTGAGATTTATATATTAGTATATATATTAAAATATTAACGAATAAAACGGCCGGACGGAGTGCGAGGCAGCTAATTTAAAGTTATAGATTAGAGCTCTTTAAGTATACAGATTCACGAAGGAGTTTGATTCTCTGAGCACCCGCATGTATCTGTCTTTGCATAAGGCTTTATAGAGCGCGTATTGTAAATCATATCCCCATAGAAACGAGCGCGTAAACCTCTGTCTCTCCCCTGCGGGGCTCGAGACAGACGTTTTCTGACTGTTTCGCTGATCGATTGCATGTACCAGCGAGTACCTAGTATTATTTCTATACTAGCTGTGTCAGTGACTTTGTCCGTGTAGCAGTGTTATTTTAGGTATCGGAATTTGGTTTTGTAAACCTCATCTTTATAAATTAAAGCTGTCGGGTCATCGGTCTCGTTCTGTTTTAGATCTCATGTTTTTTAGATCATTTAAAGAGACATCATTTCTTACATATTTTTTAGTTATCTTAAACCGTTTTTCAGCGAACGCCACTGAAGCTCATAGCGATTTATAATTTTCACATTTCTCGCTGTATCTTCGCTTCTATTAGTCTCAGCGCAATGTTTTATAGCATATAACCTTCCTCGATAAATGCTCTACACAGAAATAATTTTTCAGAGATAAGCGCGTTCAAAAAAACAACCTCTTCATCAACTATATATATTAGTATACAGCAGTGTCATTGTAGTCTACATCTGTGTTAACGAAAATCGTACAAGCTACATTCGGGAGTGAATATGTTGATGAGTCAAAGACGAAGCCCTCGAACAACTATCGGGGCGTCATAACCGCGTTATTGGTGGGCGGCGGAGGTGGAAGCGGTCGCGCCTCCGCCGTGGGCCCACTGTGCGCGCGTGGCTGTCGCGTGGCTGTCGCGTGCCGAACGAAATGCTAATTCATTATTGATAATCTTGTTAGGCACTTTTAAATAAAAATGTCACAACTACTTGCTCCGAATTGCCTGTGCCACTAATGTAAAGAGGAAACACTTGTATTTTTGTTGTAATGTGTATGTAAACACAAACACGCAGTATAGCATTTATATTATAAATATGCATTACGAGAGACGCTTAACCCAGAATACAGTCAATAATCGAGACAAGGAACGAATAACAACGAATAAAATACTAGCCGTGTCAGCGACTTCGTTCTCGAAGAATAGTTTGATCGTCAAAATGTGTTTTTGCAAACCTCCTCCACATGTTTATAAATCTTGCAAGTTAATCTTAAAAGATAGACTTAAAGCGTCGGAATTTGTTAGATCATTTAAGAGAAATCATTCTTGAATACATATTTTTTTGATATCTCAAACCGTCTTTGCAGCGTACGCTTCTGAAACTCATAATGATGAATGATTCTCCCATTTTTTTCACATACTCGCACGTTTTCGCTTGTATTAGTGACAGGGCGGTGTTTATAGCCTATAGCCCTCCTCGATAAATGCTCTAACCAACATAAAAATATTTTTTCAATTCGAACCCGTAGTTCCTGATATTAGCGCGTTCAAACATACAAACAAACTCTTCAGCTTTATATATTAGTATAGATTACACGACAGTGAGCAGACAACTTAAATTTCTCTTAATAATGCTTCCTACAGATGCACGCTTTGTATAATGCTGCGTTACAGAGTTTTCATAATTATAATATCTAGACAAGGGCAAATGATTAAGAAATTAAGAAGACGTAAGTCTAAGTCTGCCCCACACGGGAAAAGCTAAATGACGCAAACGAACGCGAGGGGCGCTGCTTTTGCCAATATTCCAGAGATGCATACAAGTGTGTAGGTGCAGTGGAATAATATTTGCATAGCTAACGAACTAATGTTCCCCTGCTCTGTTCGTTTCGTGCTTTACCCGAAGCGGTGCGAACTAGCGAAAAAGTTAAAATCATTTTCAACAACGGGCTAGTATTTTAATGTTTTAAAAATCCAAAATAAATTGAAAATTTTTTCGACTCGAGCAGGACTTGAACCGGCATCGCTGAGCCACCGAGTAGTACAACTAGCTCGTACAACAACTAGAACTCGGTAGCTCAATTGGTAGGAGTAACAGCACGGAACTCCGACGATGCCGGTTTAAGTCCTGTCCCAGTCGAATTTTTTTTCAATTTTAATTATTTTCGATATTTGAATTATATAGTGCCATTATGTGCAATAAGTTTCATTTTTTAATATTTCTTCGCGTGTGTCGCAATCGACTCGTGGCATGATGAAACACGCTTGGATTAGTATAAGTTTATTATCATATTATTAGAAATTTGTGCTTCTAAGATTCTATAATATTATTACGATGATTAGCTCTAAAATGTTTTTATTGCCTAAACAAACGTGATAGTTCAGATTTGCACTATGAGAGGGTACTGTTTTAATTCTAACTTTAACCTTATCCATCTAGATGGCACGAAAAGTACATATAAGAACTGTTAGATGGCGCTAAAACTACTGCAAATTTTTTTTTATTTCCCACAAGACAACATTTTCCCACCAGATGCCGCTATAAAATAAGACGTCGTGTCACGAGATGGCGCCATACTACCCGTTTTCTATTCTCGTGTGTTAACGGTTTCGCTTTTTGCTACTATAATATTATACCTAATAATTTTCAAGATATTAAACATTAGTAAATATTTGGCCATGTTTAATTATTTTAATTAGTTTAACGTTAGAATAAATAAAACAAATTCGATCTGTGTGATTCTTGTTTCCATTTACCTTTATTTTTAAACACGATTGAAGCTGTAAAAGGTCATAAACATTATACAAGTGGTTGACAACGATTATTGTAACTTCTAATTACTTTAGAATAGCCATTACAAGCTGTTTTTTGTTGCTGTATAGAACACTTTTAACGGTTTTGAACGATTATCATTTAGAAGCTATTTTATTCAGAATAATAAAGCGCTCGATAAAAGTATTAAGTGACGCGCCATCTAGTAACAGTTCAAACAAAATTTCGAAACCTTCCTTTTATTAATTCACTAGCTGTGCCCGCGCCTTCGTCCGCGTAGAATAGTGACTAGTGGTAGAGTTTTTAATTATTTATCTTGTATAATATAAAATTGTACATTGTCTTGTATAATAATTGCTATCTTGAACAGTTTTCGCAGGGTACGCATCTGAAACCTATAGAGATGAAAAATTTCACCCGTTTTGTTTACATTTCTCGCTGTATCTTCGCTCCTATTAGCCACATCGCAATATAACACATTATAGCCTATGACCTTTTTTTATTATTATATTATTACCTCTTTGAAAAAAAATTCAATTCGAACCTGTATGTCCTGAGATTAGCGCGTTCAAACAAACAAACAAACTCTTCAGCTTTATATATTAGTATAGATAGTCTAAGTAGCGCCCTCTCTTGGGTAAAATGTAAACTATCATGTCACAGTTTTGTTTATAATCTATATTTGTTAACGATGACGGCTGACATTGACGTCATTTTATGACATTTTACCTCTGCAAATCTAACTTTGCAACTATGTAGTTTGTGTTGTGTTTACAAGTGAAAATGAAATTTTAAGAAATCAAAACAAGTTAAAATGGTCTCAAAAAAATTACCAAACACAATTTCGGTCACAATCGATCCAAAATACAATGACGTCCGCAACGTAATATTATAACAACAACAACAATACCAGACGCCTAAAGTTCAACTTACAAAAAGGTATTTAAGAATCAAATTAAGATGCACATGTAGCCTAATCCAAAGTATTTCTAAAATAACAAAACGCTAAAACTTAGCACATATTTGAAGAACGATTTCTTATAGACTAACCTATATTCAAACTCTTCTCACAACTTAGACACAACCTGAGATCCCATGATTGAGTACCTAAAGTTTGGTGTAAACTGCCATAGAGAGTGAGAAAGATGTTTTTTAAATAAACAATTTGGATCCACATAGTTGGCGAGATTTGATTTAAATTGGCACAAACTTTATCTTACTTTAGTAAGATGTCACCCAGCAAACAAAATCATGTATGTTTTACTAGCTGTGCCCGCGACTTCATTCGAGTGGAATAGTGACTTGGGGTAGAATTTTTAATTATTTAGGCTGTTTATTACTTACAACCCCTTTTTTGCAATAAAAAGCCTATGTTCTTTCTCAGGGTCTAGACCATCTGTATACCAAATTTCATTCAAATCCGTTCAGTGATCAAACAATTACCAGCAGAATTAAGGATAGCATTGTCCCATCAGTTCAAGTATTGAAGTTATTGTAAATGCATCAGTGGCAACTGCTTTAGTACGTGTTAAAAGTGAGTCTGAACATCTATTTGACATGCTCTCATTAAGACTAGTACGTAATCTTTTTTTTTATTTGTTAACATGAACTCAATTATTACAGTCAAAGAGAGAGTTCAACACAAATTTACCTAAATAGTTTAGTGCAATATATAATGATTAATTCAACTTACCCATTGAAACTCAATATGTCATATACAAAAACATCACTAATAACTTTCCATGTCAATATTTTAGGAGCACATGCACCAACTAGCAAATGCAACTTACAACAAACCAGGACCTGTTGATATGGAGGATCGGCATTAAGGAGTATGGATATATTGCACTTTTTGAGAATGACATGAGAAATTTAATATTTAAAAAGGGTAAAGTTAAAGGAGAGAATATTATACAAAGATTATAATGTCAATACTCTGCCTCTGGAGAACTATGATCATAAGACAGTATATTTATGGCATCATCGTGCTGCTGTCTTCACACACTGCTTGAAAATGAAATAAAAGACTTATGTTGCGACATAAACTTTATTTCAGTTTTCTGACGATGAAGGAGATTTTTCTGCTTCTACTGAAAATCCTAAAACACATCCTTTATGTGGACTATGTAATTTGTAGTTTTGGCTCCACGACAGAAGCAATCAAAGCACATCAACAATTCAAAAATAGGTGGGTGGGAGATTTGAACAACAAGTGGTTTTCAAACAATGCTGAATTTATGAAAAGTATAAAACCTGATAGATCAAATAATATATGATTAAATCTTTATATTATTGGAACTGTTAAAGCACTTGGCATTTGATGGTATGTATTTAAACCTAAAGGAATCCCATGAAAGGAATATTCTTTCACATTGAGCAACTGTAAATGGCAAAATATTAATTGTTAAATTAAATTTTACACTTACTAAAATTATTATTTTAACAATTCAAGGGTGCATAAATTTAACTAAAGAAATTATAAATGTGTGACTGTGATGCCTCAACAGTTGCATTTTTTGTTGCAGCTAGAACAAGAGTTGCACCTATTAGGAGTGGTCTGTGAAGAAAGACTATGGCAGCCAAACATGACCACTGTTCTGTGTCAAATAGAAGTATTGTTTCATTTGAAAACATTAATATTTTTCACATGTTATTGCACATGAAGGCACTATATAATTTAAAAATCGAAAATAAATTGAAAAAATTTAGGACTCGGTAGCTCAATTGGTAGAGCAACAGCACGGAAAGCTGACGATGCCGGTTCAAGTCCTGCCCGAGTCGAAAATTTTTTCAATTTATTTTCGATTTTTAAATAGTATTGTTTCAACTCAAGACCAATTGTGTCGACCCTATGTGCCCTATAGATGTAACAGTTCACACCTCGAGTTGTCTAATATTTATCCTTGTACACAACAAAAATTAAATTTTTGTTGTTAATTTGGCAGAGGAAGGGAAGAATTCAAAATTGGCGACATACTTCTTATTAAAGCATATTATATAAGCATACATATAATTATGCTAATATCCTAATTTATGCATCATCTTGTTATATACAGCATACCTTTTTAATTGCACAACTAACTGAGTAACTTGTATCAAATTTAGAATTGTATGAGAAAATCCTGTATGTGTTTAAAATCTATATTTCTTAAAGATTCCCTTTTAACAATCTGTGTATTGACTGCTGATAAGTTTCTTGTATAAAGTTTTAAGTGTAAACAAGACGATAGTGTTTCATTTTATTACAATAAAATTACCAGAGTTACATTTAACGATTTAAAATGATCATTGAACTATTTTATAACTTAAATCAAATTGAATTTCATTTTACAATATACTTTAAGTTGTTCTAAGGAGGCACACTCGTTTGAATAAAACATTTTTATTGGTAACTTGGCAAGAGACCATAACAAAATATATAGTCGATTATAAACCATAGAGAACTAGTGATGCATAATTAATATTTCTTCAAGACTACAATCTATAAAAAATATAGAAGTAGGGTAGGCTTAAAGAAATATTCATTACTTGGTCCAAACGACCTCAATATTAAAAATCACTTTAATGAAGACTTTTTTGAAATTTTTATGTCATTATTTAACTCGACGTTTCTTAGGCTTTTCAGCTATCGTGCATGAGTCGGTCTTTTAGCTTCCATGGTTGCTTACTTTGCGTGCATCCCGTCCTTATGTGAATGTAACGTAAATGAATTTTTAGGATTCTTATTAATTTTAGCATGAAACTGTTAATTTTACTAAGTGAATATAAGCTAGTTCATTACTTTAATATAAAAACCATATATCCATACAATAAAAAAATAGTGTATGAAAGTGTTTTCAGTGTAAATTAATGTAAACTTTGTGAGATAATAACGATTTCATGTAGATTGTGTTTGTTTACCAAAAATGCCAAGTAAGAAAAAATACACTATAAAAAAAACTTCCTAGAAATGTTATTTAAATAAAGGCGGGCAATTTCAGCAATTTAACAAACCTTGCTATTTGTAAAGTAAATACGGCAGCGAAACCAAAGAGTAACTTGGGAGCTTATTACCTACTTTAAGTTTGGTTACCCTTGGACTTTCGTTGTTAGTGTAAATGACGGTGAGCGCCAGTTTGTGGTACTCTATTTCGTAACTAATTAAATGTTTACTTGAAATTTTTAAGGGTAAATGTATTACTTACTAGCTGTAAAGTTAAGAATAATTATCTGCACTTTATACTAATGAAGCCAGAAAAAATAAATGAAAAAAAAAGCGTTACTGTATGGAGGGGTACAGCTCCAAGTTATCACACATATCATACTGTGTCAGCGACTTCGTCCGCAGAGTGCGTTATTTTGGGCATCCAAATTCGTTTTTGCAAACCCCTTTCATTTTTATAAACTTAAGCTGTTACCCACGACGTCGGTGGCGTCTCTTCCCGTCGTTCTTGCAAGTTAATCATATACGATAGACATATAGCGTCGTTGTTTTCATTTTTTTCATACTCAAACCGAACCTATATCCTAAGCCACGCTGTTTGCCAGCATGTCTATCTATTGCCAGGCTGTATATCAAGATAATAATAACTACCGCAATCACTACCAAGTTGCTTATCTTACAGAATGTATTGTATTTCTGTAGTTGGTATAGAAATAAACAAGTACTTAAAATTATATCTATACTAACATTACAGAGAGGGAAGATTTCTATTTTTGTATGTAACGGGTAAACTCAAAAAGTACTGGACCGATTTTAATAATTCTTTTTTCATTAGAAAGCAACATTATCACTGAGTAACATAGGCTATATTTAGTACTCGATTACTATAGATATCTATAGAAATTCTTACTAAAACCAACGGAAGGCGTAAAAAAATTAGCCGTAAAATGTCTTTCTTCGCATACGCTGCGAAAAGTATTAATGATAGGACAAAAAATGTTTGGCAATATTATATAATATATCAATATCTACAAATAACATCACGAGAGCATAATATGTCTAACTATTGTACTTACGTCGCTATAACTACTTTTTTACATTTAACAACTTGATAGAAATGCCGATCAACATCGGACCGTGTTATCCGTACTATTTATAAATTTATATCCGAATAAATAATTTAATATTCAAGACTGTCTCAATACCTGATGATTACTTTTTAATTATTGAAATCGGACATTCCATTCAAAAGATATCACGAAGTTAAAATAAAAAAATACATGCCGGCGGCCCGCCGCGCTCACGCGGCGCCGCGTAACTAATTCGACGATAGATGGGCAGCGGGCTCCTTACGTAGTGGGCGCGAACGACATTGAATATTTCGAGTTTTTTTTTAACATTTTTATGCTTCACTTAAAAAGTTCGTTTCAAAGCTACTTAGTTTAGTATTACGCATTACACTTTGCATAATATTTGTCAAAGTTCTTTTCAGAATTATCGCTTTGAACTTGAATATTTTCTTTTGTATTATTATTAGCTTATTCTTAATTTCTCTGATTTAAAATAAATATCATTTTTAGCAATATGCCTAGAAGAAGAAAGTTGCGGCTATCTAAGAATAGTTCCCAAGCGAGATTAGCAAAGTTTGTCGTATTGGAGAGTCTTCTTCCTAAAATGATCATCTGGAATGTTCAGGTTCGTTTTGCTGAACCAAATGCAAGTTCGTCTCAGCGACTTGAAGGAAATAGAGCTAGGAATTCGCGAACGCGTGCACGGGACTCTAACACTGAACGCTCGCAGCGGCTCCTGACACAGCGTGATAGACAAAGGTCGTTAACAGCTAGGACGCGAAATTTTTTTTTTCTAATTTCGTGATTCATGGGCGTTTTAATTAGCATGCTTATAATTTTAATATCTGTACTTATTTAAGTCTGCCCATGCGAAGCCGGGACAGGGTCGCTAGTAGAATATATATTGACTGAGATTATATGAAGTTTAGTTATTATAATACAATATTCGTGTTCAGAAAGCTGATGGCAGCCTGAATGTTAGTAAAATCATTGAACGGCGAAGTAGCCACAGAAATAACATAGCGTGCCCCAAGTACACGATCTTAAGTGTTTTAACAAGCTCGTGTTTTTATAGGCTTTCATTAAATCCGGGAATTTCGTACGAGGTCAAATAAAATTGAATTAAGTCGAACAACGCTTCTCATCTACCTTCTGCAGTACAGTGATATAAATCCTGTTTTTTGATAATAATAAGGAACTATAGACAATATAGAAAGAAGAAAATAGTTAGAATGAAAATTGTTCGCGCGTCTGTTTATTCCATGATAGAGGAAGGAGGACAGAAGCATCTAAACAAGATGCGCGGTCGACCTATTTTGTTTTTGGATATTCGGAAATCCACAGACTGAAATCGAAACGCGATTAAACTTCACGGCCTTTTCATCTGTGGACGGAAGTTCTATATTGCTACGAGCCATTTAATTTCCAGGCGAAGTTCGACATGTTTCAGAAAAATTATATATTGAAAAATTAGACCTGGTGGGAATCGAACCCACGACACGAGACCTTACATTACTACCATATTACGGAAATGTCTTAAAGACTTTCAGACAGGACATGTGTTCCTAACGCAACTAGATAAGACAATGGAGAAGCCCTACATGTAATATGGCACAACTAAAAGGAATAGAACTATACGAACGAGAAAGATAAGTAGAATCTGTGGTTAATATTTAAAGATTCTACTGCGCTGAGCTGGATCCACGCTACTTACGACCGCTCATTTATCACGATACAACGTGGCACACACGTAATTTAGCGGCCCAAATTCCTACTGTTCGCTGTGGGGTTGCCGCAACGCAATTAGTACCACGGTACAGAGAATATCAGGTATTCG